AATATTTGCCCGAAGTTTGATTATGAATATTGGTAATAAAAAGTTTCATGTTATTCTTTGGATTCAATAACAGCTTAAGTGCACTTGCACTTTCTCCAAGCTTCCCTTCGAAAATTACAAGTATTACATGTACATGTATACCTGGCAACCGCTCTTCATATGAACACAGAACTGTCTTTCAGAAGTAAAGTTTTGAAAATTTGTATTCACCAGCATGTCAGATTCAATTTTACACTGTATCTACGATACAATTTTAGTACATGTATGACAGGAAAATAAAATAAACTCATGGTTGTTTTCAAAGTGTCTCAACAATCATTTAAGAAACTATCCTTTTTCCCACAAGGGTAACAAATCAATTAGTCAATGATAGCTACAACAGTGTTAGTTTCAAGCAAAAAGGAATGGAATGGTTAAGGAATGGAATGTTACTGCAATGCTCAATTAAAACTGACAAATTGTTCAAGTTTGGAGGTTGCAATATAACGATTGGTCTCAGTGTCTTCCCCATCAATCTTATTTAGCCAACCAAGTCTCAGAAACAACGGCTGTTTTTGCTGTTGGGAAGCAGCTCAAGTTCCCAGGCTGCAAAATGCGATTGATGAGATTGTGGAAATTGAATGCACTATGCTACATGAACATGCCTGGCCGCTGATGAGCCAATAAGCCACATGTGTACTGAGGGCTGTGGTCTCATCAATTACCTCCTCAACAGTGGTAGATCTGATTAAGCCCACGCTATATGTGAAAGTATCCAGGGTCATGCAACACCATCCATTCCATGGTTTATTCAACCACAAACAATTTTCAGTGAGGTCAATTTTAGGTACATGTAGAGTAACTCAAGAACCCATAGTCAAACATCAACCCCAAGACTCAAGCTGGAAAATTGAAACGATACATACAAATTTCAACCCAGCACGCATTTTTTGCAGCTACTAAAACTTTTTACGCAGAGCTAAATTACACTTTTTTCCCAAACCTCCAAGAAAATAAAGCTGAAGTTTGTAACAATTTGCCATTTTGCCAAAATGACTGAAAACTGGAACTCTGACATTCAAGTAGGCCCTTTTGTTATATCGTTCAGAAAATTAACATTCCATCAGTGCAACTTTTCCCATGGTGAAAAATTGTACATTTTCGGGTTTTTACATATACTGCAGCAGCTTTTGTTTTCCCAAACAGCCTTATCATGAACATTCACGAGCTGATTATATTTTAAAATGTTTCTCAAGACGAAGCATTCACTGAAAAGGTTCTTTCTACTCTATATGTAACATTTTCACCACAATTCTGGCAAATGACATCACTATGGACTGTGATTTGACAGAGGCTGACTAGGAGAAGGTCAGTATTGTCATTCTGGCATATTAAACATCATGCATTCCTTTGTGTTAAGGGCCCATCCTTATACAGCAATGATCCCACTCAGGTGTCTGGGGACATTTCAAGCACACTGCCATGCAGTTATGGCATCTCATAAATTGTTTTTCCCTTTGAAGCCCAGTACACTTGACTGGCACTGGCAAGCAAGCTAGGCAGAGTGCTTTACCACATTTGTTATGACCTGTCCCTGTTAGCTGTTAGCTGCATACCGTACCTCTTGGCCAGCCTTAACTGCAGATACATCCCAACAGAACAACGGGTCGAGCAATTCACAATGTTTTCTTGAACATGAAAGCCTATGTAACCTTATGGTTGAGATCTACTCTGGCATGAGAGGGGGCTGACAAGCTTAAAAGCTCCTCAGGCGGCATCACTTGGTATCAGTCACACTTGTGTTAATGTGTGACGCTGAATGGGAACAATTACAGCTAATAGCTACAGCTGAAGGCGAGCAGTTTGGAAATGGCTGGGCTCTCATCACTGATTAAGCCGGGGAGGTCATCCGAAGAAAGACATATCAAATTGCTGCCCCCATAAGCATTCCAAAGAGTGATTTCTCATTTCTTGGCTAGTAAGTTGTATACGTGATGCTTTCAAAAAATGAGTGCAGCTTCTGTGACCCATTTTCGGCTTTAAGACAAATCTATAATTAAATAAAAATCCCCATTCAAATCAGTGAAAATTGACACCATAATTACAGTAAATGATTGACTTTTCTTGTTTTAATCTTGTTTGTTTTTTTCTCTCTTTTCTAAACCCATGCCCTGGGTATCTACCAACTTAATTTCCACTGCAAAATTTCTAGCGTCAATTACAACCAGGAGTACAGCTATCTCCCCTGCTCAGTTTTGACATTTTTACACAAGCAAAAAAAATGTTTGGAAAATCCACCATGTGATGGTTACTGCGTCCAACATCTGTACTAATTGAAAGCTGCAGCGACCTTCCCCTGATCGAGCTTCCATTTTTCCTTTCCCTTCCCCTTTTTTCTTATCTTTCATATCAATTTCTTTCAATTTTAGTGCGAAATATCAACGGCGATACTTTTTTTCATTTTCTTTTGATGAGTGGGTGAGTATAAATGTCTAGAAAAGAGACACTATACCACAGCTGGCGCAGAGCCCATTTCAACACCTCGCCATCAAACAATCATAACTATCAACCATGAACTTTGACATTTCCAGAGATTTGCCATCCAACTGAACCTGCTTTTGATTCCGTTATTTCATCTTTGTCTCCCTCGCTCTTTCATGTTTTATTAGCCAGGTGCATTTCCTTCACGAGGACTGGAGTACAGGGTAATATATCTGATTATCTGAAGTGTGTGATGATGAATCTGCATCCACGATTACAGGGTCTCCTTGGGACAACTAATCAAAATGAATTGCACGCTCCACCGGCAAAATTGGTTGAGCACTTGTCTAGCACAGAAAAATGGTAATTTGATTAAAGACAAGCTCGTAAAACAAAATTTAGATACTGGGTTTTAGAACCAGGACCAAAGCACCTGCCAACCAGTTACATAAAAAATTGTTGATCTGATTTTTGGCCTAAACTGTTTTAATTTTCTAGAAAAAGGAAACAATCAAATCCAAATATTCAGATGTAAAAAATGCTAAGCCCAACAAAGGTAAATTATTATTTAAAAGAATGACAGGGTAGTTCTTGAACATGTCAATTACTGATTCCTGGGTACATGATTGGGTACATGATTCAAAGCATGCTTCATATGTAAAGTTCAAACCACAAAAGTGGCTTTATGGTGATACAATGAATGCATGACAGATTATTTCAACAGCGACAGGATTGCACTGCATGAAATACAACACCACCAAGAGGAGGCTCCTTCCAAACTGCTAGGAACAGAAACCATTCATGGCAAAAAACAGGGGATGGTATTCAGTTCCTGAGGACTTGAATGGACAGAGGACATTAGAGGAGGGGGGATGCAATCATGCGAAACCATGAGATGCCTTTACAAGCATTTGTGCCTCAAAATGCATGCTTTCTGCCCAGAAAATCTCTACATGGGTAATTCCAAAAATTAGGGGTCCAAAAGTGTGACATTTTTGTGTCCCTGTTACATCTGACCTGTTATTTGACATGGAAATATCACCGGAATTAATTTCAAACTATTATGTTTGGCAGGTAAGTTGCATTAATTAAGGACTCTCGGAAATTAGAAAATGTGTTCTGAACTTACAAAAAATCATGTCAGATGTGACAGGGACACAAAAAAAACCTGGACTCCAATTTCTGGAATTACCCACATACGTACTGCATGCATCACTGCCCATTCATAACTCCTGGTGCATGTACAAATAAACATCTCCAGCTTGGAGCAAGTGTGCAAAAACTGGTTAATTGGACTGAATAACACCAAGTCTAATATTTAGCCATAGTTAAAGTTGTTGACCATTCAGAACTACATCTTCATGTAACATACCGGTAAGTGTGCCTCGAATTGATATGTCTGGTTGTTAATTCATGTAATCAAATGTCTCCCCCCCCCAAAAAAAATGATTTTCCCCATTTAACCCCTTCGCGCCGGGAGGCGGCTTGACACGTCGTAAAAATTGAGATCCTCAGCCCGCTTTTCAGCTATTATTCTCGGTCCACGCTCGAGCGAACACGGTGAAAGAAGGCAGACCCTGGCTCTTGTATATATGGTAATTTGTCCTTGTGCGTAGCCCAGAAATGAAAAGACCGAATTTGCATCATAATCACCAGCTTCACAATAGTCCCCACTTTGAAAAGAGGCAACGGGAATGTGGAAGGGTGAGTAGAGCCGCATGCAACCGAACAATCAGCCTTTTCACTGTGTAATTCAAAGTGTGCAGAACACGCAGGGCCACAAACTGAGAATTCGCAGTTTGGCAGTTGGCCTTTGTGGCCAAGCGAGGCTGGAATTCTTGGAGTCGGCTTTCAGGAAGAAATTCACATCATCAAGGGGTTAAGGCAACCACTGCCTCTGCCATTCTGTGCGGCCATATCAAGCCTCTGGTTTCTCGTACTGACAGTGCTTCTTATAGGATGCAACCTTACTTAGGCGTGCCCCATTCAGGCAGCTGGATCAATTCATTTTTAGAGTGGACCACATGTATGGAAGTTTACAAGAGCAAAAACCTGTCCCCCTAACGATTTTGGTCGGCACAAGGTCTAAGTTACAACATGTGTGTACGAATCTCCTTAACTACAGAACAACTATGTGTGTTTTAATGACTGGGCTTTCTTACACTGCCATGGTACCCATTCAAACAGATGCCCATCTGCCTCACCTTGCTCTACCCTGCTTTGCAGGAATGGGGGTATGAATGCACACAACACAAATGTGAATGTGGCAAGACCAATCTAAAGCCTCCAACACCTATACACACATGAGCACAAAACATGCACCTCAACAGTGCCCCTGCTTTCCCCTTCCCCCACCTCAATGATGCTAGTGTACTAGTCAGTGTGCACACACCCATGTCAGACTGTTGTCAGACATGTTGGCAGTGCAAGCATGGCTGCGATATACTGGGGCAGGACTTAATGGGTTGGTTGATCAGCAGTCCACACCGGTGAGTCAACTTCAAACGAAATTTAATATGCTAGAATTTGATTGGTCTTACCTTGGTTGCCTAACCTCCTCCTTGTTCTTAGCCAAGAGGTCAAAAGCTTTGCTGAAACCTGCATGGAATTCCTGTGGATAAAAGCAATGCCCAAAAGGAGAAAAGTGTTAATCTTATGTAGGAATTTAGTCAAGGTTTCAGTTATCTAGTGGTACATCCAAAATAAATGTAAGTTCTTCAACACTTCCCAACGATGGAATATGTTTTTGCTCTGTGTACGACCAGTCAAGGGTGGCAGACCTCACCTAAATGTACTGTCAATAGGGATTAAGACATCCGTTGGGTATGGGTATGTATGCATTTGCAATGACCAAATGAGGCAAAATGCATGTAAGTGTGCTGGCTGATGGAATACAATGTCCACACTGAACATGTACACAAAACTTGTTTACGTTAGAAAAATTATGAATAATGAGTTTTGATAATGGCCTTGGTACAACATTCACTGACATTCAGTTACAGGCCAGTGCAGCTATCATGATGATTTTTTTGGTTAAGGAACGCCTGCACGACAGAGTAGTTTGGTCAAAAGTCTTTCTCCTATTTATTTGAAGAGTTACATAATTTTCCCCTGTTGTGAAGGTCAGTTGTTAACAATGGTTAAGTAAAGATGGAGCTTGCTGTTCTTTCAGTCATGGCTGATATCTTCCCTTCACATGTGAATGAGCAAGATTACTGGCAATTTTTCAATTCAGATGAGCTGGTTAGTTTTGAGTCATGAAATCCTGACATTTCAATGGAAAGAGTGCAAGGTACAAAACGTGACAAGATCTACCAAGTACCATGGACAAGCAGTGTATGTATAAAAAAGCTTAGAAAGCTGTGCTGTATTAGTAGACAATCTATGTTAGAAAACTCTGCAGAGATGGTTTACATTTGATGTCTGCCAAGAAACTCTTGTAATGAGCAATTCTCTTTTCACAGGTTTTTACTGTACATGTTGACATAAGGGCATCTGGATTCATGTATGTAAACATTCGGATGGACTATCATTTACACCCAACAGCGGATCCTTCAAAAGTACACGAGGAGGTTTCACAGCATTACTACAGGCTGGAAGCAATGGTTGTCTACAGTAGAAGATGCGGGAGTTTTTCCAGTCAGTGAATATCACAAACCTTCTTTCAGTGCACCTAAAAGGCACAAACAGAAATATATGCCTGCCAGCTGTCAAGTGTAATGAAAGTCTTTCAAACGAATTCAGCCATCAAAGCCACATTACTTCTAAGTATGCTAAGTTAATGGTAACTTCTCCACAGCACTGCAACATGGAACAAAGGTTTCCTCTTGAGGGAAATATAAATGTATGCTAGGAACTCTGCTTGCCCAAAGAATGGTCTCTTGTGGGGTTGGTTAAGCGACGAATGCATTGCATCTTTAATGCACCAACGACAGGCTTATTTTTAAAGTTAATAAATGCATCTAGCTCTTAAGCACATGGCTTTTGCATTAACTACGTAGAAAGAATGGCGAGCTGTGCTGAGCAGAACAATTCCATCATACCAATGTGACTGCGGTTTCTGTTGTGTTTTGTAAGCAATGATGTGAGAATATAAAGCAGCAAAATTTCGTGAGAAATGTAGGGAACCCTGGTGCGGTTAAGATGATGCATCTCTTACATGTCGGCATCGTGTGCATATTTGCCGAGCCGTGAAACATGCAAACACGTTCAATAGTCTGTGGTAATTTATTGTTGGCCATTTGGTCTGAGTGATGGTTTGTATGGCGCCGTGCCTCCAGTTTAGAACCTCTTCGGACGCTAGTCTGTGAGATGGAGTCACTGTTCAATGTCCTTTAGTGCCAACCCATGGGTGTCATCAAGACTGAACATGCTGCATTGTTTGGGGGGAAAAAAAAGAAGTAAACCACCACCAAGTGTTTTTCTTTCAGAAAAATTCATGGTGCTGGGACTAATTCAGAAGCACAGGCTGATTTTAAATAGTGGTCTTAATCACTGGTATCTGAGGGGGACCGAGAACTAACACCCTTCCAGAAATAGTCTATGTGGTTTAGTGCCAACATTTTGTCAGGTATCAATTTCTTCATCTGGTCAAATGCAGCAGTACGTGGGACATCCTGTGCATACAATTCAGTAGTTTTCTTGCTCTACACACATGATGATGAACATCTTGAACTTAGTCTGGCAATCACAGAGGCAAATGGGAGACTTCATTGCTAGCCTCAGCACATATCCTTTCAGACGACTGATGTTGGGGTTCTTTCATTTATAAAAAAAAAATGACTAAATGGAAGTATGGAAAAGGGAAACTCTGCGCCCGTAAAGGCCCATCGGCCTACATGATAGCATCCTCAAGATGCAAATTATATAATTTATATACACTGGGGTTTGACTGTTCCATTATCTCTCTGTTGGAGGGATTCATTTCAATCTAGCTGCCTACAAGTACCTACATCTGTCTTTGGTCAATGCCAACCAAAAACAAACATCATCCCTGTGCTTGAATGCCAATTGTCCCTTGGACTGTTGACTGTTCAATAATTTGAAGCTATGTGTATCTAATTCATTTGATTTATCCTGTCTTGGGTCAGTACTAAAAACAATATCAGGAAGTCTTGCTATCTGTAACATTCCAATACAACTGCAAAAACAGCAATGATTTCAGAACATGATTTCATTTTCAGTTAGTATATATTTTTTTCTTTTTCAATTTCTGCACCATATCACAAAAAGACATGATGAACAGAAGCAATCTAGTATCAGTTGAGTGGACAATATCCTGGTGTGTCTACATGCCAAGTGCATATCAAAAAGGTTTCAACAGCCAAGTCCGCAAAACATAAATAGATGGGGGAGGCAAAGCCATTCCCCTCCCCAAGAGACAAATTTCGCTCTGCTCATTTTTCCCCATTTCATATCGATAATTTGTGACCACTTCATTTCTTTTACTCATCAATCTAGGTGAAAAGCCTCCCCAAATTTAGTAGCCTCACACTTGAGAAGGTCCTGAAGCAACCTTCAGTTTTTGTCTCAATCCCCCCCCCCCGAACGTGGTTCTGGGTTTGCTCATATCCCCAAAATGAGCAAGGGATGCAGGTCCAAGGAATCCATTGAAATGTGAAAAACGTTTTTATAAAAAGAGAATACAATGCTTTTTTCTAATCACAACCCCTATTCCTTTATCTGCCATTCACAACTGACAGGCAACCTTCAAAGGATATTCAAAAATCGTAACATTGTATGAGCACATGGCCATGGTTTAAGAACTGTATTAATTCCCAGCTTTTTGTACACCAACGTTTGATACCCCAAAATGAATCCGAGTTTAACCCTCTTACTACCCAGCAGGTCAGGAGGAGAAAGGGTTACTTTTTTTCTGAGTTATCAATGTTTGTTTCAACTGTGCGTGGGCAAATATGGACTTCCTTTCCATCTTATTCCAACAGGTTCTGCAAGTATGCATATAATATTAAATGTCAGCACCCTGGTCAGCTCAAATGTATTGTATTGTAAGATTCAGCACTCAAATCTTTAACATCGTGTCAGGCATTTTGATGTTCCTTAAACACAGACTCCCAAGTCAGGGACATGGAATCAGGAAGGCTTAAGACAAGGGTGACTCTGAGGTTCGGCCAATGATTTCATACTTGAGTTTTCCTCCAAATGACACACTTTTGTTGCTAATTGGTAGAATAACATCACAAGCATATTTGGTAGGTTTACTTGTAAAATTGGTAGGCTTTGGGATCACTAGATCAGTTTCTACTTGGTGAACAGCACATTACATTGAAGCCTTTCAGTAACATGACAATCAGTTTGTCATAAGGTCGGCTGGCCCACAATGTACCACATGGATGAAGGCTCAGGCCTGTGACTTATCTGCGGGGACTTGGGCTGAATGACATTTATTGTGGGGATCCAAACCATTGTGGGAAAACCCCAAAGGCCCAACAATCCAGTCCATAATTCCTTCAAAAAGAAAGTTTCCCCTCAACGTGGCACTGGCTAAGAAAGTAGATATGTTGTAGGTTTTTCTTATTTGAGACAAAAAGAAAGGGCAAGATGTGTGTGTACACTGGTTCACATGCATATGGTATGAAGTGGCCTGAGTCATTTCCATTTGAATGTGCACTAGCTGGAAGCCTTCTACACATGGGCACCAAACCTCTCTCGCTCAATGTCGCTGTTAAATGTATGATATATATAATGCCTGATCGGATTTCTGTCTTCACAAAGTGAATGGTGCAGTAGGTCATTCTGAACCATAAAGCCACATGTATATCAAATGACTATAGTGATAACTTGCTGTGCAAAAAGTATGGCCTGCTCGGTACATCTATGTTTGAACAAAAGCAATACAAAACTCAAACTTCTATAAGGCTATCTGCATATCTGCATCTGTATTCTAAAATAAGGCCTCAACAAAGCTTACATGGCAAAAGCCTAAATGCAATCAGTAAATGAGTATTTCATTTTGCTTAGTGCATGTCAATGCATCCATACTACTGATAGAAAATGACTTCTATGCTATGTAGTAATTGTACACAGCACTAAAATACACCCTTCAAAATTCATTCATCTGATTTCATTATGTGCTACAAATACATGTGCGTATGTCTTCAAAACATCTATAGATTCCTGTCCAACCCCACCCCACAATGTTAGTGGATCAATGGCACATCTTTCAAGGCAAAGACAATATTAGATTTTCCAGTCAGATTGATTCTCCCAGCAAAGAGTATTGCGATTGCTTGGTAACTTGATAAAGACTTAGGTTATTACGCTGCTTGGTTGGTGTACTGATTTACCATTATGCCGCGAGCCCCCCCCCTTTTTTTTTACCCATTCTGCCACTTAAGGGAGAAAAACTCTGTATCTTCCAGCAAGTGAGATCGACATCCCTGCCGCGGATATTAAAACTCTCCTGCCCGTAAAGTGAGTTGGACAAACATCGGGCCTTGTGGCATTGTTATTACTGCCGCACGGTGTTAAGCACTGGGCTATCAACTAGCCCACTTTCCTTCCCCTAGGCCTGGCAACGGATGGGGGAGGAGGTTTACTGTGTCACATATTCATTCCTCAGCCAAGCCTTTCCTTTGCAGGTAAACCCCG